AACTTTTGTTCATGTTCTTCCTCCCTATATTTATATATCATATTTGTGTATAATTGCATGCGAGAGGCACACATTTCTTATACTTTATTTGATTTAATGTTGAAAGAACACACTCAGCATGATTTTTTGAAACATTAATTCCGTGATTAAGAATGTTCATATATATGACAATCATATAAGCTGGTATAAGAGGTTGTTATGGAGAAATACCCCATGTTTACCCAAAATGAATATCAAAGAAAAAAATCTGTAGTTTCATCTTGTATCACATTATGTTGCATAAATGAATCTTAAAAGAATATGCTCCCTACTGCTCTCATATTTGATTTATTTGGCTGAATTGTTTGCGTGCTAGGGTGCCAAGTTGAGCAATACCAATTTGAAGGATGCAAACCTTCAACGAGCTTATTTACGGCAAGTGAATCTTCGAGATACGGTAATGAAAGCTGATCGGCATTCTGTGACCTTTCTTTTGGTTATTTTTTTCAAAACCAAGAAATAGATTGATCAGGTTACTAAACATAAACAATGTTGCATTCCAAGTTTAGTATTTACTTTCCTCTCTTGAATTTCATTAGGGGTGCTTGAAACAATGTTGCATTCCAAGTTTAGTATTTACTTTCCTCTCTTGAATTTCATTAGGGGTGCTTGGGCTTATAGCTTTCCTTTTGTTCGTCTCAACTCTCAAATTGTAGTATTTTTTTACATGTGCATAATCTAAAGGTCCATTGTAGCATTGAGAAGGTCAAGATCTTTTCTTGATAACTTAGTTGATAGTTGTATCTTTCAAGGCAAGAAATTGAGGATGTGACTGTTCTTTTTATGTTTTGAACAGCATTTGGAAGGTGCAAAGCTTTTCGGTGCCAATTTAAACGGAGCAATGAGATGACACTGAGTGTTGCTATTGTAGATCCTGTGGAGGTTTGTAATTCTGTTTGTGTATAACCCGTCTGCCAAGATTCCCATTGTCCAATTTCTGGGTTGAGGCAACCACCCTAGTAATCAAATGATGTGGTTTGTACATAAATCTTATACCCAAATTCAATTCATTTGGTGATAAATGTCTAGTAGTTGATAAAGATGAAAGGGTAAATTATGACAACGGTCACTGAATCTGTACCCGATCTTCACTTTCGTCCTACAATACAGTTCTTGGAATTTAACTGTGGTCCTCGTACTTTTACGTGTGCATCTCTTTCCAATTATTAATTCCTTCACATTTTGTTAATTAAAGGGGTAAATTAGTAATTCTACCTTGCATCAATAACAAATTAGAATAAAAAGTATAAAACAAGATTTAAGAGTAAAAAATCAAGGAAAAAAAAACCTTAAATAAGTGGAAATTTTGCCCATGCTTCCCCGCACATCTGGACCGCATCTACATGATCACCCACTGCTCTACATATCTCCCATACTCTGCACCACAGGCACCGTAAAATTTCACCGACACCTCAATAATTGTATTGGGGGCCCAAAGTCAAACTTAGATTCAAGTTCAAGGATCATCACCATAATTATTTCACTTTTTACTTTTTATTTTACTTTTTAATTGAGAAATAAAATTATTAATTTACACTTCAAATCAATAGAAAGGTTAACATAATTTGACACAATGATAATCAATGCATCACTTCTGCTCGCTTAATTCTGTGTGTCCTTTTTTATTTATTTATAGAAAATATGATATTGCATTGGTAAGAATTAGCATATTATCGGAAGCCTGGT